CAAGAGAATTTTGATTTGTAGAACTTATAAATATAATAAGTATGATATGATTTTTTTATTTATATTGTGATTTTATTATCCAAATCTTATTTTTTAATAAAGATTATTATTTATTTTCGGATTTTATATAAGTTTTGTTTTTTTTTTTTTTTTAATTATCCACCGCAACCACCCGCAACCGCAAACTCTGCTGGGAAGGAGCTTTTGATTTTGAGGGATGTTGAGGGATCTTGAGCGGTTTGAAGCGGATAAAGCGTTGTGGTGATTGTTGTCAAACACCAATAACCGCTACTACCCGCAAACGCTGCGTTTGCGGGTAGCAGCGGGTGAACCAATCAACATGTCACCGGTTTATTGAGGTTTAAGTTGCTAAGTCTTTGGAGATGGTATAGATTGCTCAAGTCTGTGTGTCTAAAGTACTTGTTTCCTTATTCACCAAACTTCCAATTATATTCTTACTATGGTATTTGACTCCTCTGCAACACGATATTCGAAGAAAACGTCAAAAGTCTATGTAAAAACATGAGCTTGTGACAGATTTTGTTTGCTTACTTTTGAGCTTAGACAATTCCAGACTTGATGCAACCAATGTACACTCGCACGGTTCTGATCTGTGGCGAGCCAATGTAGAACAAAGCATTCTTGTATGATAATTGAACTTAAAATTTTCCCAAATATGATTAGAGAGACATGAGTGCTTTATGTAACTTACCAGGATTTACATATGAGAAATATATTTGGGTTTTAGATGACAATTCGTGATACCTTCGATGGGATTCTGCAAGATTTGAACTTTTGATCAACAAACAGAAAATAACAGAGTAATATAAGCATTTGGGCGAGCAAATTTTCCGGGAGAAAGAAGTTCTTTTGTTGTTCTTCTTCGGCTTCAGTAAATAATAGCCAATCATCCTCGTTAATGCTTGAAGCAAAAGACAATTTCAACTTCTACTTGTGACCTATGACAAATCGCATAATGATTCCCATCTCTGTCTATCTTTTCAGTTCACCCCCTGCAAAAGTAATGGACAAAGCAACAACCTTTTAACAATTATGTTACATCTTTTTTGAATGAAACTTATGTTACATCTGCTATGGCATATGCAGGAAAAATAGCTGGTTTGTTCTTGTTGAACCCTTAAGAAGCCATGTTTCTCTTTTCGAGTCCATACGAACCTCGTAAACAAACAAAATTTAATAACAACGAAGATAAGAACAAACACAGCTCGGAACTTACAAAATAACTATCTACGGACTAAAACCTGTCCGACCAAAACAAAACAGAGTAAAGACATTCAAAATAAATGAATTCTAGACTTTAAGATGAAGAGAGACTTTTACGAAGAGAACCAGTTTACGGAAACAAAATCTTAACCAAGTGAAGAAGAGATTACAAACAACAACCACTCACTCATTAACAGATCAATTATTAAACACAAAGCTCCATAGTGAATTAATGAACAGTTTGTGGCCTTTTGCATCAACCATGCTTAAAGGCATCCATCTCCAAACACGTTATATGGTTTCAAACCAAAAACACTATATAGACCCAAACAATACGTACACAATGAACAATACTCCAACAGAATCATGACCAAATCGCGGTAACAGAGTCAGATCATATCATCAGAATTTTAAACCTCTGAAAACCGCAATCGGATGATTCACGTCTTGACATGAATTATGTTTTCTGTGCAAATTGGAAAACAAAGTACAATACACACAGCGCTAGTAATTAGAACACATCATTGACAACGGTTAAAAGTATACAAAACAGCGGTTAGCTATCAGTATACTCTTACTGAAAATCGAAGAATGAAAAATTGTTGAGCTAAGAACCAAACGTCCAAGTTAAGTGTGGCATGAATAAAAGAATACAGCACCTAAGACGAAAACATGATTTTTGATTTGGCTTCTTTTATAAGAACTAGGGCTAAGCCCGCGCGATGCGCGAGTTGTGACTATTACAAAGTATTGTACCTTGTATCTAAAATTTTCCATTGTTTTCCAAACATTTTTACGTAAATTTCTCTATTTTTTTATTTTTATAAAATCAATTCAAAAATGGTAGCATTTGTTTTGAGAACAAATAATATAATAATTTAATTTAACAATTTGAACATTATGTTTAAAATGTAATATCATATAAAGGAAAATACATATGAAATCCAAATCAAGTATGTTGTTTTAAAAAAGAACAAGTTCAGATATAAACTCTTAAGAAAGAACAAATTCAAATATAAACTTTTAAAAAAGAACAAATTCAGATAGTAGAAGAAGCTATGTGAAAAGTTAAAGGAGCTTCCCAATGGACTGAGATTCATCACTTCCTTAACGAATTTGTGTGTTTCTTTACAGTATTATAGTCATTTTCCTTAAGGAAGAGAAGATTATCACAAAATCCAACAAACCGTTCTGTTACATACCATGGGATTGGTAATAATTGAGACTCTCAGCAACTACAGTCTACGTACCACCAAGTAAAAGTAAAATTTCCTCTAGAAAAAGTATGATTGACTTTTTTTTTTTCATTCTTATGTTTGTGTAGACTAATTTGCTATGAAGCATCTCTTATCAATGATATGATGGTTTAAGTTATGCAACTCTTTCTTTTTATTCAATGATAGCTCATAAGTTTTTATTTTTTTCTTGGTTTTATTTGAGCATGTTTGTTTCTGTTTGTAACGTATCGATTCACATTCCGTTCAGCTGCATTTCAACTCATTCCCCTGATTTGTGTTTTGATCCAACACAATTTTCCCATTTTACTTCCACTTCAGCTCCATATTTTTGATTTCATCATCTCACCATCTTATCTGCCTCTGGGACTCTTTTATGTGATGTGACCTCATACCTCACTCCATGTCTTGCTTTATACAAGATCTCACTCAATAACTCATAGTTGAAAAATGGAGACCAAATTTCTAATTAATTACTATTGTAGACAGGTTGTTTTATCCCAACTTTCAGCTACTTAGAGTTGTTCGTTATAGTATGGTTGAGTGACTTGAGTCTCACAACACTTGGTTTACTCATATATACGCCATCCATTTTTATGCTAGGATTGAACTAATTAAGGCTGGTACTCATTGTAAATTATGTCCTTTTTTTTCTTTCTTTTTTTTGTAAATTATGTTCTCAGGTTCGATCTCTCCAAGCTCAGGTTGCCAGAAGGGGTCTCTTCTGTTGATCTAAGCTCAAATCTTCCAAGAGATTGATCTCACCAACAACCAAATCTCAGGGAGGATTCCTGACTTTGGGGAAAGCTTGAATCTGAAAGTACTCAACATAGGGAGCAACAAAATCGGTGGACAGATCCCAAGTTCAATATCAAACCTTGTTGAGCTTGTGAGACTTGACATCTCAAGGAATCACATTACAGACTTGAAAACACTTACTTCATTATTCGCATCATTGCTCTCCAGTGACTTGTTATATTCTGCTTTTAGTTCAGCAATTTTATCTAGATAAACCTTCTTCTCCTACAAATATCAAGAAACATAACCAGAGTAAGAACACAGTAAACAAAATCTCCATGAAACTAAGGAAGAAACAAAGAAAATAGAGCAACTCACTTCCTCAGTCATAGACTTCCACTTTTCACCACCCTGCTTTGCAACCTACAATCATATACAAACCACAGCCTAGTCAAATACCACAAATATTAAACTGATTACTCAAATGCAGTAATGAGCCTAAAATAGATATCAAGTGTAAAGAAAAAGACAAGAATCACAGTTTCTATCTGGAAGGTGAGAAGTTGCAGCTTCATTAGTAAGTTTTTTTTTTTTTTTTTTGATAACTCTGGTATCCGGGCAGCCACATTCCCGACTATCCCCACAAGTGGGGTCCAGCGCCCCAACGGAAGGGATGTTAAATCCGTTGTGGCCGGGACTCGAACCCAGGTGGCGATAATTTACAATGAGTACCAGCCGTAATTAGTTCAATCCTAGCATAAAAATGGATGGCGTATATATGAGTAAACCAAGTGTTGTGAGACTCAAGTCTTCCACAATGCGAACGTAAAACTGTATGGGCCTTATTATGGGCTTACCTTATGAAATGATTCAAAGAGTCCATTGGTACTTCTCGAAATGAAAAGGGAACCTCTTCATTAGTAAGTTAGTTGATTATACATAAACATGTCGAAATTTTACAGATTTTAGAGGGAATGTGTGTGTTGTCACCTGTGTCAAAGTATCATTGAGCCTCACATTTTCCATTTTCAAGTCTCACTGTCTGTCTCGTTAGACCAAATGAAGAGAAGGAAAACATAATCTCGGTAGAAACTGATCACAAACAAATGTTACTCTTTGTATCTATTTCATCCACACGTGGTTCTCATCTACCCAATATCCTGCAATAAGGAATATGTAAGAGACTGAGTACGATATGAACAATAAGAAAAACCAAGAGAAACAACCACGGGAGAATTGTTATGTATCAGCGAACCTCATTGATGCCATGAGCCATCTTCTCGATTGTATCCAATCAGAGGATTGGATGCGCTGAAGACCTCCCAATAACGGAGAAGGCGGACGAGTGGTTGCTGTGGCGATTGGGCCAGACGCAGGGATTCAAACACGGCGTTCTCACTATGTTTTTGAAGTGGAGATTCCATGGCGGCAAATGTGAGTTGCAGGTATGCGATGAGAAGTGTTTATAGTGAAAGAGATGGCCCGTGGATTGAGGAGATTTGAGTAAATGAGTTTAATGACATTTAGGACGCCAGTATTAAATGGAGAAAGGAAAATCAAAAGACAGAGATGAAGAAACATAACCTGTTTGTGTTGTAATGGAAGCGTTTCAAGGGAGAGAAATCGATCGAAGAAAAAACAACGGAGTAACGGTCTAGACTTGACTAACAATAAAACTGTATTTATTAAAAACTAAAAATGGGTCCACAATGCGAACGTAAAACTGTATGGGCCTTATTATGGGCTTACCTTATGAAATGATTCAAAGAGTCCATTGGTACTTCTCGAAATGAAAAGGGAACCCTAAATCAGTAATCCGGTTTGTTGCCAGCGGAATGGAGACGGTGGGAGTTTCGAGCCGGAGGAGCAGCAGAGACGGCTTTGTGGAGCTGACGTATTTCTCACCGACTGGTCGTCAGAGAGACAAACCGAGACGCCGGAGATTGGAGGATAGCCCATTGGGTCTGAGAGGGATCTGACGAGTGCGGAAATATGTGCGTGGTGGCAGCGGCTGGACTTTCCCTTAAGGAGCGCCATGCCTTGGCGCAAAGTTATTCGGCGGCGTAGCGTTGAGGAGCTGCACGAATGGTTTAGCTCGGAAAGCGTTTCGTGAATAGTGATGTTGATCCGGTGATAGGCAAAAGAGACGAGGAAAACATTGAATTGCCGGCAGAGGAGGTGGAACGATGCGATAAGCGCCGGTGGGGTGAGGCTATTTCTGTGCAAGCGACGCCATGGAGATGTTAAAACGTTTTTAGTTTTTCCGATTTATGTGAAAAAAAACATATTTTGTATATTATTTTTTTTTTAAAAAGACGCTGCCACGTGTCACTTATAGGGAGAGAGTTATCCTCTCATTATAATATAGATTAAAATATAATACCGTAGAGTTTTGGAATGCAAACGGTGACAAAGGCATGGAATTTTAAGACGTTGTGTGTTAGACCACTTTCTCACCCTAGCTCGATTTCTTTTGTTCATAACCTGTTTAATAGAGATAAGAAAACACATAGTTGATTAGATCTGAAACTAAACCAACGTATTGTCTAATCATACGTATTTTATGCATATCATCCACTAACGATGATAACAAATATACATATTACTTTAGCTTTGAACAATAATGCTACCACTTCCTTGATTGAAAGTTTGAAACAATCTTCTGCGTTTATGTAGGCATGTGTATTAAAAAGTAAAACATTATCATACTAAAAGATATCCTCCAACATCCGCTTGGTATTCTTTCGACATCTATGCACCAACTAATACATAATCCACTCATCAATCTCAAAAACTCCATATCGAGTCTGGAAAAAGAAAAACTGAAGAATTCCTGCAACTCTAATCTGAGTAACCAAGCTCTCCTACCAAAACAAAATAGATCAAATACATTCCAAGAAAATACCTAAGATCCAATCAAACTAAAAGTATTTTGATCCTCTTCTCTTCTGTAAATACTTCAGAAATCAGATCCCTGGATTGAAAATTCCATATCCCCCAAATAGCCATAGAGATGAACTGTTTCCTAGTCGCATCAGAGAATTCAAGTGTACAATAAACAAATTAACAAACTATGGACTACCAACGATTATCCTGGTGTTTATCCTTCGTGTTGGCGAAGCAAATATATGCGCAGAACACTTTGCTTTTTCTACCTCGACTGTATTCACATATTGAATTGTATCTTTACAAAAAAAGTCAAAAAGGAAAACAGTTGTCAAGATCAAACCACTCTACCACGAGACGATGGAAAAATATTAACTTCAGTGTATATGTGAAACCCAAGATATCAAAGCTTTTGAAAGTTTGTGCTTCCCATCTGTTATCTCTTTCTGATTTGTAACCTTCAATTCCTCTTCGTAACCTAAAACGTGAGGCAATTGCAAAAAATAGATCTAAAATTGCAACAGTTAAACAATTATATACATAAAACATGATTGCAAAAATAAATAACTTACCTGCTAGACATGAGCGTGAGACCCGTCTCCAACCTGTAAGAAATTAGATAACGATCAATTTGCATAAGAAGAAGTAAGAACTCAAAAATTAAAAATCATGTCTAAAAAAAAGAAAAGTGTATTCTGATGATTTTGCTTATTGATATCTATTTATATAGGAGTTTGTTTCCTTTTTTTTTCCTTCCTAAATTGTGGCGTGATAATATAGTAGTTAGGGTATTTATCTTAAAAAAATTTAATAAACAATAAAATTCGTGATTAAAAACAAATAAGGAAATTATGAAAATTTAATAATATATTTTCATTAAGGGTATGTGGGTAATCAACCTGCTGAGATTGAATGTGGTGCCTCTAAACGAAATTTTCATTTTGCAAATAATATATTAGATATTGTATGCATATAGTATCATATGTTGTTTTCTGTTGTTCTTACATAAATTTTATTGCTATAATTTAAAAATATATATCATACTAAAATATATATTTTTTTCCAGCATTCCACAGTTTCCCAATTTTGAATTTGGTGTTGGGCTCAGTTTTCAAGAAAAACATCCATAGTTCCTCAATATTTGTGTTGCATAATTCTTCAATATTAAAGTAATATTAAAGGGATAATTCTTCAATATTACTCAACTAAATACATTAAAGTGAAGTAATAAATTTAAAGAAGAATTAAAAAAAAGGCATTTGACAATTCCTCAACATTCTGCAAATTCTTCAACTGGTGTATTGAAGAAAGCATTCCTCAAGATTCCTCAACATTCAGCAACATGAATGTTACCAGCTATGGCCTAAATGAATGTTTCTTGCGGAATCTGGCTGATTAGTTAGTACTGTAAATGGTAACTGCTGAATGTAAATACTTGAAACATTATTTGTGTAATAGAATAACAAAATATTTACCTAGTTAAATTGATAAAAAAAAACTTATTCTTGTAAAATATATAAATAATAGATTAATAAAATAAATTATTTAAAATTTATGAATTTAGATTGATAATAATTTATTAGACATCAAAGTTAAAAAAAAATAAAATTCAGAAAATACTCCCTCCGTTTCAAATTAGTTGTCGTTTTGGCAAAATGTATCTGCAAATATTTGGATGTATCTGGACATGTTTTGCATTGCAGATACGTCCAAATATTTGCAGATACATTTTGCCAAAACAACAACTAATTTGAAACGGAGGGAGTATAATATTTTGATATCATCAATTCATTAATAAAAATCATCTCATACATGCTGATTAATTTCTTCTAGTATTGTATGCATATAGCACGATATGTTGTTCTCTCTTGTTCTTATATAAGATTTATTGCTATAATAATTTAAAATTTTATATTAGATTAAGTATATTTTATACTAAAATAAAATTTTATTAATATACTAAATAAAATTCTATACTATAATATTTTTTTCAGTGATATTCCACAATTCCCAATTATTGAAATTGGTGTTGGGTTAATTATTTAAAAAAAGACATCCATAATTCTTCAATATCTTGTTTTGGTAAAGGGATAATTGAGAGGGAATTAAATTTAAAGAAGAATTAAAGGATTTTCTGGGATTATTAAAGTGCAGTAATAAATTTAAAGAAGAATAAAAAAAATGCATTCCACAATTCCTCAACATTCTGCAAATCTTCAACTGGCGTATTAAATAAAGTATTCTTCAGAATTCCTCAGCATTAAGCAGAATTTATGTTACCAGTTAGGGCCCTAGATTATGCAAGTCAAAATACGACTGTTGACAGAGACAAATTATGTAATAAAGCTTACGAAAAACACATGTTTATTTATTTAGTTTAGAAATAAACCTGGTTTGGAAAACCACACTAAAAATTTATGTGTATTTAAATTCTTTAATTGAACTTGGTCATTTTAAGCCGGACTGTTCTTTCCGGACTTGAACTCGAAAAAAGATATGATTTTGTGAGTTTTAGTCGGTTTGTTTGACTGAATTCTCACATAAGCTTTTCGGCTGACCATGAGATCTAGCAGAAAAGGACTTTGCCAACTTTTCCTGGAGAGTTGCTGCAAGTTAAACTGATTTCTTTTCGAGATTCTGAGTCAAACTTGGCATGATTTCGACTAAGTATTTGTTTTATTTAGATCGAGCTTAATAAAACATAGTATTTGGTTCGAATGTCATTTCGACCAAATGTTCGAGCTTATCGTTGAGCTAAGCTAAACAAAGACTTAGTCAATATCTTTGAAGATCGATTTAAGGTTGGACTAGAATCTATTGAGAATCTAGCTCGATCTTGGGGATGTTCTCGAGTTTTAGCTCGAGAATCTGGCTGAGTGGTTGACTGCCATAGAAATCAGACTACGCGAGACTTAGTTGATTTCTTAGGATCATATAAGATCAAGCAAGAATCTGTTTAGAATCGAGTTTGACAAGATGATATATGTCCCGAGCGAACTTCGAATTGAGCTCAATGCTGCAATAGAGAAAGTACAGTTTTTCGCCGCGTTCTATCTATCAATCTGGGCTCGACTTCGAGTGTTACACCTCTTAAGATAAAGAAGATGTCTCAAAAGCTAACGTTTTGTGAACAAACTGCAAAGTCGGCTTCCGCTCGACTGGAGCTAATGGAGTTGTGGAGGTTGCCCATGTTGCGGTTGAATCTACTCTTCATGATGAAGTAGTAGGTCAGGTTCTTCATGTTGCTATTAGGGATAATACCCAAATGTCTCATTTGAGACAAACTATCTCGTTGAGCTCGAATAGCGAACAATCGGACTCCGAATTTGTTGAGCTCCTTGAAAAAGCAAGTTAACTCGACGGCGAGTCAGTCATCTTATTTAGTATTTGATCGTTCAAAGGATATTCAAGTTTTAGGTAATCCTAGAACGTTCATATTGCGCCAATGCGAATCTGCTGCAAATCAATATCTAGTTTTGGATATGACGCTCGATAGGGAGCTGTAGGCGGCAGCGATGGCGGCAGATGAGAGGCTATGATTTTTATCTTTTCTGAGTTTTGGCAGATGATTATCTTCAGACTTAATATTTGTGATTTCTCTTTATCATTCTTCGGCGGCGAACAAGAAGCACTTTGGTCCGTATTTTGGTCCGTATGAGATACTTGACAGGTGCGGGAAGGTCGCGTACATATTAAAACTGCCAGCCTCTTCACAGGTTCACCATGTTTTCCATGTATCACAGCTCAAGGACGCCGTTGGTGATGTGCATACGTCTACTCAATTACCAACCATTGTGCACGATGTTTTGATCAAAGAACCTGAAAGCATTATGGAGCGTAAGATGGTTCAAAGGCAAGGTCGAGCTTCTACAATGGTGCTTGTTAAGTCAACAACTCTTCCTGTCGAAGTAGCTACTTGGGAGTATTTGTATGATCTGAAGAAACGGTTTCCAGCTTTCAAACCTTGAGGACAAGGTTCTTTGAGGAGGGGAGATTTTATATAGCAAGTTTTACTTATTTATTTTAGGCAAATCATTAAGCCGACTTAGTCTTTTATTTCTCTTATATAAGGATTGTTAAACTCTTTCAATAATTCAAAAAACGGTAGGGTTAGGAGTTCGCCCTAATGCTCCCAGGCCCATGTCCCGAGACATCCCAGCAGCCGCCAACGACATGAAGACACATGTATCTCCGCCGCGCTTCCTCTCCGCCATGCCTCCTCTCCTGGATGAAGCCTCCTCCTCTCCCTGCTCCTCCTCCTCCTGACCTGTCCGTGAAGCCGTCTCTCCTCTGGTCACTCTCCCTCTCCGGTGGTCTCTCGACAGATTCCATGGCGCCTCAGAGGAGAAGGTGTCCGAATCTGTCGGTTACACTCCCGGAGCTGTCAGTGCTAGAGTGTGAGTCTCCGGTACAGCTGTGTCCACACCCTCCTCCGGACCCAGATCCAGATCTAGATCTGCCGCACCCAGTTGTTTCTTCTCCTCCAGATCCGCCTGACCCTCCAGATCCCGCATCCTCCTGTTCTACCGGCCTTGGTCTCTCCGCTACACAATTTACCTTTCCCTCTTTGTCTTGCCATCTCCTGCACTCGCTGAATCTCCATGTCCCCTTTGCCATGATTGTTGCCGTTGCTGGCGATCCTCTGTCGAAGTCACGGGAGCTCTTCCTCGATGTCCCTCTGCCGCCGTTTCTGCAGCTTGTCGCTCGGACACTAGGCCGCAGAGTTGTGTGCTACAAATTCAACTCCCTTCCTCTCCAGTCAGGTTTGCTACGTCTCTGATCCCGCTGCTTCTAGTTTGGAAGGTTATTGGTTTATCACAGAATATGTAGCTTTGTTAGGCTCATTCTACCTCAGTATGAGTCTCCCCTTACCTCAGTATGAGGATGTTACACTTTCCCTTTGCCGTCTTTTACCTCTGTTTGAGGTCGCTGTTCAAGATCTCCAGCCAATTTCACTTCCATCCATTGTTTTTATGGTATGGTTAGCTAGAGTTGTGATGGACTTAGATTTTGCTAGAAGCATTCGGTGTTGTGAGCCTCTAAAGTGTTTCCCTTTTGTGGAGACTTCAAGCTCTCTTGGTGATACTAACTTGTATGCAGGTTGATTTCATTTTCAAGACTCTTCAGGCTCTTGCGTTAGCCACTTATCTACTAACGGTCGTTTGTTAGCTCCAGACTTAGTTGCTGGAAAGCTTGCCCTATCAACTGCTCTTCTTGAAGCAGCCTTTGCTGGACTCATAGTATTGGATGTGCTATTCGACTCCCAAAGTCTCAACCTTCCTTTGATTTCTAAAGATGTTAAGTATCTTTATGAAATTAGGTGTTTAAGTGTTAAGTTTAATTGTATCTGCTTTACATTTGTTTCTTGTCCAGCCATGGTTATGGTTTGGTTTGTTGTGAACAATTCCTCCTCTGATGTAGTGTAAGATTTATCTATGAAGTATTGGTTGACAAAAAAAAAAAAAAAAAAAACTCTTTCAATAATTCATTCAGAAATTTAGAAGAACACATTCTCTATTCTCTTTGCTTCTATGATTCTAGGTTACTACTATCTTCGTTGAAAATTAGAACTGTTTCTTCTTACTAAGCTCTGGTTTTGGTGATAAGAGAATTTGTGTTTAAGGAAAACCGATTCTATCTATCTGGTTGAGTAATTGCAGGTTTACTCTATCATTCATCGTGAAATCACAAAGAACAACTTAATATTGAGTTCAATGAGTTGTCAATTTTTGACCTATTTTTGCCGAACTTAGCTTTTGATTTGGGTGATATGAACCTGATTTAAGTAGATTCTTGTAGTTGATTTATTGATTTTTATGTGATTTTACGGAGAAGAAGATGATTTAGGGAAAGAAGACATTTGAATATGTGATTCTTTAATTTTCAGCTATGTAGATTTTATAAAGTCTTCTAAGTTCTATCATATTTCTTATGTCAATGTTTCAGAAACAACTATGTCATTAGGATTGAGAAATTTACTTTATTAAGTCTTTGTCAATGTCATCTTTGATGTTAATGTTATCGAGTCTTTGTACATCATATCTCTAATATATTAAAAGAGAAAACATTATGAAAATAACATTTCTTTCATGTAGTATTAACAAAAATGTCATGCTGATGTGTCATCACCACGTTTACTTTCAAGACAGAGAACCGTTTTCCTAAAACAGAGATTTATTGGATTGATGGATCATATTATCTTATGGTCTTTGTCTCAAATTTTCCAATTCAGGATGCAGCATCTCCCTCCAAGCAGGACTCAGAGGATGAAGACGGGTGGTCTCTATTCTATTCAAGTCCCACAAATATGGCAATGCAGGTCTATTTCCATCTTAGACTTCATTTCCTGAGGCATACATAGTTGGAAGGAGATTTTTTAACTGACTTTTTCCCTAAAACTATGCTTTAACAGGTTAATGAAAAGAAGTCTGTTGGACAGGAGGCTTTTGCTAGAATTGCTCCGGTTTGTCCTGCCATTGCATATGCTATAACTGTTCATAATCTTTTTGATGCACTGACAAGCTCGTCAGGCCACAGGCTTCATTTCCTCGTATATGACAAATACATCCGCACACTAGAGAAGTATGAACTTTTTTCAGTCCCTCGGTTTTTCTTTTTCTGCATTTGTTAGTTTTTGCACCATCTGAGTGTTTTAAATCGTAGGTGTTTATGTAATGTTCATGTTCTTTTTAGTACTTTAAATACTTCAGTCTACTTCTTTAGTATTCATTTTACTTCTTCCTACTTCAGGCACACTTATGGTATTGCTTGCTAAATAATATCTTTAGTCTAAAGATGAAGATGTATTTTATTTTGTGCTTCAGTTAATGGCAGCAAAGCAGAAATGAATCTTTTTGGATGTCACAGTGGAAAGAGGAAAGACGGGAAGAGGAAAGAGGAAAGATCAGATTGGCCATTGTTTGGGATCAAGGAAATGAAATCAGAGTCTTGTGAGCAACAGACTAGTGCTACTGAGGAAGATTATAATGAAATAAGCATAGATGAATAATGAAGTTTTAGTGGGGTTTGGTTCAGATTAGGGGGATAACAAGTTAGGAACTGACACACTATTATATATAGAAGCTAGTGTGCGTAGGAGATTGGTCATATTCTCTTGATAGAATTTCATCATTTTCTTCTGCAACTTGTAGCTCATTCATCTCTTTTAACTTCCAGGCAAAGCTTTTACACACCTTAATGAAATTGATATTACTAGCAAATAGCAATATAGTCGGGGCGTGCTTACAGTGTAATTAAACAGGTGATAGTTTTAGTTGTATCGAGACAAGATAAGCATATGTGATTCGAAGAAGACTTATGGTGCAATACACAAACATGTTCATGAATGTTTACGACTGAGAAAATATACAACAGGTTTTTGGAGTGAGTATTAGTTAGTATAAAGAGAAAAAGAAGATAACATGGAGATGACAAAAGATCTCGTAAGATTATTTTCAGAAAAAAAAAGGAAACAAATATTTAAAAAATATTCAGTTGCAGATATTTTCTTGATTTAAAATTATTCCTACAAGATAAATTCTACAAATGGTAGATGATAGTTATCATACTATTATTTGCAAAGTCAGAATTTCGAATGGAGACACCACGTTAACTCTCAGCCGCATAATTACCGAAGTACCTTTAATGAAAATCTATTATTAAATCTTCGATTTTTTTTTTTTATTTTTTTATTATAAAGGAATTTGATTATTGACTTACTGTAAATATTTTTAGATAAAAAGGCTAACTACCATATTCCACACCATATTTTTGGAAAAAATTATAATTTTTAGAAAGATAAATAAAAAGTAAACCCTAAGATTCTTAATCCACCATGTCTTATATAAATAGATACGAACAAGGAAAATCAACACAATTCTCATTACGATTTACAATTCCTCTTTTTATACGTAATTTTAGTTTTAGATCTCATATTTCTTCTTTTCATGTATCTTAATTGTTTTAGTTTGATCTTAGTTCTATTAAATCTATTTATGAACTGATTATTTGTTATCTTCTGTCAATATCATCTATTGATCCGCTTCTAACTTCTTCCTCTCTCACTTTTGTAACAGAAAATTCATTATTTGTAAGCTGATGGAATCGAGAAGTTCATATATGGTCCCAAGCCAGAAATATTCTTCCCCAAAAATAAAGGGTATGAACATCTTTTCTTTTATATATCAACTTAATATTCATGAAACCCTAATTCTAATGGCGAGATTATAACGTTTTTTGTTTTTTTCCAGTATCCATATTATTAGTTTCATAACGTTTTTTTGTTTTTTCAGTATCCATATTATTAGTTTCATAGTTCATATTAAATCTTAAGTTGTGACTTTATTGAATCAGGCACCTACAAGAAGCTTTTTACGAAGTATGCACAAGAAAAAGGCTGTCAAGATGTTTAGAGACCTCATTGAAGAGCTCTTTATCTTTGCGGTACTCTCTTACTCAGCATTATTAAATGTGGATAACCCAACCATGTTATAACTTTGTTTGGAATTGAATTTATAATTACTTTCATTGACATGTTCTAGCTCATCACTAGTAAGTTTCAATTCACGAATTGCTGATAGTCTGAAAAGGAATTGTTGAGGCCTTGAGAGACTGGAGATCTTTTTACATCTTCGTCTCTATAAGATTTTTTTAATCTTAAAGAGCTTACTAAAAAAAAACTCGATTCGCTAATTCGCAATTCCTAATACTTTTGTTCATTGTCTTGCCTCTCTATAAAGTTCGGTATCCTGTCTGTGAAGGCTTGGTAGCATGGAGGGAAGTGCCAAAAACAAAAGGGTTTCTTCTCTGGAATCTGATTAACTTATTTTAAAAATATGATAAGTTAATTCAGACAAAGAGACAAGCTTGGTTGTGGTTAAGAAACACAACCCAGACGATCCTCTATCCGAAATCAGATGCAAATTGATTTCCACAAGAAACACCAGCCACAATCTTGATAAACAATGAAGTTAAGAGTTATAGTTCCAGTGAAATTGGTGTTGGAGATACCAAGGTTTTGAAGTGAGGTAAACAAAGAGAGCTTAGGGAGGGAAAGGTAAAACCAACTGCAATAGAAACGACAACGATCTCTGTAACGAGTTTGTCGGAGGTGAACAACTGATGTAAGGCCATTGATATGGATCGGAATTGAAACAACCAACATTTTTTTTTTAATATAATTAAATTACTAACAATTCTAGCGAAGGTCTTTAAAAATAAATTAAATAAATAAATATCAATAACAAATAAATCAGTTCAGCGGAAGCAAATAATAATTAAACAAGTCTAGCAAAAATAATGCAAAACAATAAAACATAAACATCCTATCATCCCCCTCTTCAGCCTTGATTCCGCGATCACACAAATCTTTTACCTGCAACACATTGGAATGGAGTTGCGTAAGTATTTAATAAATACTTAGTGAGGCAATCACTCTGCCTACAGCCATTTACGCAATTTACTAGATATTTAATAATATTTATAAACTCCAATAATTATTAAATACCATTTTCCAATTATTAAATAATTTTAATAATTAAAACTCATTTCTCAATTATTAAATAATTCTCATAATTAAATAATAATTTTCCATATTTTAAAATAATTTAAATAATTATTTTAAGCCTCTTAATCAATTAAATATCATTTAATTAATTAAATTCGAATTAAACCATTTAACCAGATTTTAACCAGAAATCACTTAATTTGAACCAGAAATCAATTTCCAATTGAACCAGACAGAACCGGCTGCGTCGACCGACGCAAGCTTTGCGTCGCCGACGCAGACCACTTTGCGTCGACCGACACAAGCTTTGCGTCGCCCGACGCACGTCCGTCAGGTCGACAGAGATATCAACAAAACACGCAGAAACACCAAATTAACACAGAAATCAACCAAACATCATCACATAAACCTTATATCATAAGAACACCTCAAGAACAACATTCAATCAATCCAGATCTAGTGATTTGCGGACCTACAGTCATGCACTCACCTTGAAAACGGATTGAAAGGAGAAAAACGATGGAAACAACAAGGAACAACGAACGGCACTTCGATCTGCCACTAAAACTCGGATTTCCTCCACAAAATCGCCTCTTCTCCTCTCCAGAACTCTCTGCCTCGAAAACTGTGCAAAAAGGAGGCGGCTGCACCTTTTAATTCGAGTTCTAGGGCTTTCTGCCCAAAACCAGCTAAACCGGACCACTTAAATCAACCGGGTCTGATTTTGAAATCCTTGCGTCGACCGACGCAACACTTGCGTCGCCCGACAACTTCCAAAACTCACCAGAGAAGGCTACGGATGTTACAACTCTCCCCCACTAAACTGGATTCGTCCTCGAATCCCAACCAAACGTCACAAAGACCACAAAACCCGACCTCGCAAGGCCGCAACACTGGAGATCCTCACCTGATCCCCGAGACATTCACTATGTCACGTTCCAAGAAATTTCACTCCTAACTCATCATCCAAACACACAAACACTTGTACTGAGGCCCACTTGCACCCAGACAAGTCCACACCGGTCCGCACTGAGGCCCACTTGCACCCAGACGAACCCGAAACGTCCATACTGAGGCCCACTTGCACCCAGATGAACTAAACTGCTTATACTGAGGCCTACTTGCACCCAGATAAGCTACACTCAACTGAGGCCTACTTGCACCCAGAGAGTCTGCCAGAGAACGAAGTCTCCAAAAACATGATGAGTTATTCAGGATCGCAATCCTTAGAGTAAAAATTCCGGAAAATGTCTATAACCATAAGATTAGACCGTCTCACAACCAAAAACTGGTCAAACATGTGTAACATCCGAATACCATTTCACAACACAAGGCAAAATGAGGAAAAACTGCATCTCATTAAAACTCCAAAATGTATATCGTTACAACGAAAACGAAAATACAATAACACCAAAGCCAAAAATAACAACTGAGGCTACAAAGATGAAATAAGCTCACTCCTCGACCTGCTTGTCGAACCACTTCCTGAACTTCAACTTCATCTTTGCCTCTGGCTCCCAAGTCTCCTCTGTAGAACCACTGCAATCCCACAAAATCCTCAGTAAGGGAATCCTCTTGTTCCTCAGAACCTTTTCCCTCCTCTCTAAAATCCTCACAGGCACTGCCGGCACTGTCAAATCTGGCTGAAGATCCTCTGGAATCCTAGCCACTAACTCCTCTGTAGGGTGAAGACACTTCCTCAGCATCGACACATGAAAAACCTTGTGAAAGGCTTTCATAATCTCAGGCAACTCCAGCCTGTAAGCCAATGGCCCAACTCGCTCCACTACTGGAAACGGACCCATAAATCGCGGACTCAGCTTGTTCTCTGCTATGGATCTGTTAGGACCCCTCAACATAGCCATCTTGAGATAAACTCTATCTCCAACCTGAAACTCAAGCTCTCGTCTGCGTCTATCTGCATAACTCTTCTGCCTATCCTGAGCCTCCTTCATGTTCAGCCTCACAACACGGACCTTCTCTGTCGTCTCCTGAACATAAGTAGCTCCATACATGCTGCGCTCCCCCACTTGGGTCCAGCATAGGGGTGTCCTACATGGCCTCCCATACAAAGCCTCAAATGGAGCCATGCCAATACTCGCCTGAAAGCTGTTGTTGTATGCAAACTCAACTAAGCTCAGGTGATCTGCCCAATGGCCACCCCAATCCAACACACACATCCTCAGCAAATCCTCCAAAGTCTGAATAGTCCTCTCTGACTGACCATCTGTCTGCGGATGATAAGCTGTACTCAATGCACCTTAGTGCCCATCTCTGCCTGAAAAGCTCTCCAAAACTCTGAAGTGAATCTGGGATCACGGTCTGACACAATACTAGCTGGCACTCCATGCAGCCTCACAATCTCTCGCACAAACTTCCTAGCCAAGACAGCAGCTCCATCTGTCTTCTTGATGGCCAAGAAATGTGCGGACTTAGTCAACCGATCCACAATCACCCAATAGCATCGAAAGTCCTCGAAACAGGTAGTCCAACCACGAAATCCATCGTAATCCTGTCCCACTTCCACTCTGGAATGGGTAAACTCTGCAAAAGACCACCCGGAACCTGATGCTCTGCCTTCACCAAGGCACAAGTGTTGCACTTCGCAACCCAGTCTGCTACATCCCTCTTCATCCCGACCCAATGATAGTACCTCTTGAGGTCATGGTACATCTTGGTCGCTCCCGGATGAATGGAAAACTTGCTCGCGTGAGCCTCTCCCAAAATCTGATGTCTCAACTCCACATCCTTAGGCACACAAACTCGCCCACGAACCAAGATAGTCCCATTCGCAGAGACCTCATACTCAGAACCAGTCACTCTCGTCGCATCTAGCAAACTCTGATCACTCTGCTGAGCAACTCTGATCCTGCTAAGTAGATCCGCCTGATCCACTGCCTCTAAACCCAAAGGCTCCTGCGAAATGGCACACAAACGCAAGGTACTGATCTCGCCAACTAGAGACTCCACATCTCGCTCAACTGCGGAATCATACCTCCGTCTACTCAACGCGTCCGCCACTAGGTTAGCCTTGCCCGGATGGTAGTTAATGCTCACCTGATAGTCCGCCAAGAACTCAACCCAGCGCGTCTGTCTCGCGTTCATCATCGGCTGAGTGAAGATATGCTGCAAACTCTTGTGATCCGTGAAGACCTGTACTGTCTCACCTAGCAAGTAAGACCTCCAAATCTTCAACGCGAAGATCACTGCTCCCAACTCTAAGTCATGTGTAGGACGGTTACGCTCACTGCCCTGCCACTGTCTCGAAGCATATGCTATCACTCTGCCCTCCTGCATCAGCACACAACCAAGACCAATGCCTGAAGCATCTGTATACACCATGTAAGGCTTCCCTGGCTCGGGTAACGCCAACACTGGTGTAGTAGTCAACATCTCCTTGAGCTGACTAAAGCTCTCCTCACACTCAGCTGACCAAACAAACGGGACATCCTTCCCGGTCAACTTCGTCATCGGCTGCGCCATGGTAGCAAACCCCTTGACGAACCTCCTGTAGTATCCTGCCAAACCCAGAAAACTCCTGATCTCGGTGGCACTACTAGGTCTAGGCCAATCTCTGATAGCCTCAATCTTAGCCGGATCCACAGAAACTCCCTCTGCAGAAACAATGTGGCCAAGAAATCCCATCTCTCGCTGCCAGAAACTGCACTTGCTCAACTTAGCAAAAAGCTTCTGCTCCCGAAGCTTCTCCAGAACCAACCTCAAGTGAGTCGCATGCTCCTCCTGACTCCTCGAGTATACCAGAATATCGTCAATGAAAATGATGACAAACACGTCCAAATACTCCCTGAACACGTCGTTCATCAATCTCATGAAGGCTGCCGGCGCGTTAGTCAAACCGAAAGGCATAACCACAAACTCAAAATGCCCATAACGCGTCCTGAAAGCAGTCTTCCTGACATCTGCCTCATCTATCGGGATCTGATGATACCCCGATGCCAAGTCAATCTTGGAGAACCAAGTAGCACCCCTCAACTGATCCAACAACTCATCAATCCTCGGGAGTGGGTACCTGTTCTTCACAGTGACTCGGTTAAGACCTCTGTAATCGATACAAAGTCTGAAACTGCCATCCTTCTTCTTCACAAACAACACCGGTGCTCCCCACGGTGAAACACTCGGTCGAATGAACCCCTTAGACAAAAGGTCCTCTATCTGCTTCTTCAGCTCTGCCAACTCAGCTGGCGCCATCCTGTAAGGCGTCTTCGATATCGGTGCTGTCCCCGGCTCTAACTCAATCGTGAAAGGATCAGACCGAGATGGTGGTAATCCCTTCAGTGACTGAAAGACATCCTCAAAATCCTGGACAACCTCAATATCTCCCATAACAACTCCAGCTCCTGACTCAGACATAGAAATCGTCGCCAGATACGCCTCACAGCCCCGCTCTAACAACTGCTCGGCCTGAATAGCAGATATCACAATACTCCCGGAAGTCGGTCTCACTCCCTGATAAACCAACCTCCCTGCATCTCGCTCGAAGACCACTCTACCTCTGTAGCAATCCAGATGAACTCTGTAGTGTGACAACCAGTCCATCCCGAGAATAACGTCATACAGCTCCACCGGACTGATGACTAAGTCTGCTGGCATTGACTGCCCCGCAATCTCGATCTCGACTCCTCTAGCACGGCCCAAAGTAGACAAGAATCCACCTCCCGCCACCTTGACCATGCCCGCGCTCTCGCCCGCGCTACTCCGGATGCCACTCTTCTCGGCACGCTCCGGTGTAATGAAGCAATTCGATGCTCCAGAGTCGAATAAAACGTGGGACTCAAAACCGCCCACTAACAAGGTCCCTACACATTCAATTGCGTTGAGAACCTCCACAAGACTATCACAGATAAAAATGACTAACAGACAATAACACAACAACAAATTCTATACTAAGAATTTACAAAGTCTGAGTCGAAGATTTACCTGTGATCTGCCCGGTCTGACTAGTCCCGCCAGTCTCCACTGAAGAGTAACCCCGCGGCGCCGGTGCAATCTGACCCAACGGCTGCACTGCTGCGATCTGACTCACTGGCTGAGCCGCTACTGGCTGAACCGAAGCCACCGACATACTCCGCAACTTAGGACACATGGGCTTGATATGCCCAGGCTCCTTGCAGTAGTAGCACACCCTCGGTGCTGAGTCCCTCTTGGGACAACTCGAAACACGATGCTCCGTGCTCCCACAACCCAAAACACGAACCACGAGGAAACTGACTAGCACCAGAAAACTCCTCTCTACTCCTCTTCTGACCCTGCGCAGGCAAACCGCCCCTGCCAGAACCAGAACTGAAACTCGAACCACCTCTGCGCTGCTGCTGCTGCTGCTGTCGCGGCTGCTGATGCTGACCCCGAGGCTGGGTAGCAGAAGCAACTGCTGACGGCACAGCCACCGGACCAACTGGCCCACCAAGATCCGCCTCGACCGACGCGGCCAACTCTACCAGACTCGCCCTCGAAGTGTGCGTACTACTCCTGCATAGAGTCCGAATATCCTTGCGAAGTCCCTCCAGAAATCTGTTCGTCAACTGATGCTCAGCCTCCATACCAAAGCCCGCATGCACTAACAGACGGCTGAACTCCTCATCATACTCGCGTACAGAACGCGAACCCTGCTCAATGCCCATAAACCGCATCTGAAGACGATCACGAGCCTGCCTCGGGAAATACTTGGCGTTGAACTCCACAAGGAAGTCGCCCCAAGTCCAAAATGCCCTCCGGCCCACCGCGGCCTGCCACCACAAATGAGCATCGCCACTCAAATAGTGGACCGCTAACTCCACCCAGTACTCCATATCGGACAACGGATCGAATGAAAGTTCCGCTCCACTCTCTGACGCCACGCGTCTGCCTCCTCTGGACCAACTCTGCCCTCGAAGAAAGGCGTACCAATCCTCTGCATGTGGCCCATAAACTCCAAATAACGGTCACACCCGCACCCACAGCCTCCGGCTGCGCAACGTCTGCAGCAACATGCTGCACCTCTGCCACTGGCGGTACTCCTGGAGCCCCCTGTGGAACCACCGGCGGAAAACGAGCCAATAGCTGCGTCAGCAACCCCACCACTAAGTCATCACGACCCGGAGCCGGAGCGCCACCCCCACCCGGAGCAGCCCCCGCTCCCAAACCAACACTCGCACTGGCATCACCCGCCAACGGAACTGACTGGGTCACCGACGCAGTATGCACACTCGGTGCCGCACTCTCTCCCGACTCCTCCGGAAGTCCACGACCACGACCTCGGCCTGCTCGGCCTCCAACTCTGCCGCCACGACCTCTAGCACCGCGCCCTCTCGCGCCACGACCTCTAGGAGCTCCGTCCATCTCACTGCATGGACCCGAAACATGAGCAACTAGACAATAACACAAAAATACAAACACCAAAACTCACCGCGGAATCTCCTTTAGCTGAAGGGGATGATACTAAAGCCTAGCAATTCTAACAGTCCTAAAACCGTCTAGGCTCTGATACCAAAATGAAACAACCAACATTTTTTTTTTATAATTAAATATAATCAATTCTAGCGAAGGTCTTTAAAAATAAATTAAATAAATAAATATCAATAACAAATAAATCAGTTCAGCGGAAGCAAATAATAATTAAACAAGTCTAGCAAAATAATGCAAAACAATAAAACAGTAAACATCCTATCATCCCCCTCTTCAGCCTTGATTCCGCGATCACACAAATCTTTTACCTGCAACACATTGGAATGGAGTTGCGTAAGTATTTAATAAATACTTAGTGAGGCAATCACTCTGCCTACAGCCATTTACGCAATTTACTAGATATTTAATAATATTTATAAACTCCAATAATTATTAAATACCATTTTCCAATTATTAAATAATTTTAATAATTAAAACTCATTTCTCAATTATTAAATAATTCTCATAATTAAATAATAATTTTCCATATTTTAAAATAATTTAAATAATTATTTTAAATCTTAATCAATTAAATATCATTTAATTAATTAAATTCGAATTAAACCATTTAACCAGATTTTAACCAGAAATCACTTAATTTGAACCAGAAATCAATTTCCAATTGAACCAGACAGAACCGGCTGCGTCGACCGACACAAGCTTTGCGTCGCCAGACGCAACCACTTTGCGTCGACCGACGCAAGCTTTGCGTCGCCCGACACACGTCCGTCAGGTCGACAAAGATATCAACAAAACACGCAGAAACACCAAATTAACACAGAAATCAACCAAACATCATCACATAAACCTTATATCATAAGAACACCTCAAGAACAACATTCAATCAATCCAGATCTAGTGATTTGCGGACCTACAGTCATGCACTCACCTTGAAAACGGATTTGAAAGGAGAAAAACGATGGAAACAGTAAGGAACAACGAACGGCACTTCGATCTGCCACTAAAACTCGGATTTCCTCCACAAAATCGCCTCTTCTCCTCTCCAGAACTCTCTGCCTCGAAAACTGTGCAAAAAGGAGGCGGCTGCACCTTTTAATTCGAGTTCTAGGGCTTTTCTGCCCAAAACCAGCTAAACCGGACCACTTAAATCAAACCGGGTCTGATTTTGAAATCCTTGCGTCGACCGACGCAACTTCCAAAACTCACCAGAGAAGGCTACGGATGTTACAGGAATGAGAGAGATTCAAGACAGAGAAAGCTGCTGGTACAAAGAAAACCAGAAAACTAAGATGTTACATAAGACAAATAAAATAAAAAAGATGAAAAAAGTATAACTGAAAAAAGAAACATATGATAAAATACTTATGAAAAATAAAGCTACGAAAAGCTAAAGTACCATGGTAAACTTTTTATGTTTGCATCCATGACAAACTTTAATGTTAGACTCTTAGTTGTCTTACAATAGGTATGTTGCTTCTTTGTTTTTTTTTTTGTTTTTTTCAAGATAAAATAAGAAGAAAAAACATGAATAAAAATAAGGAAATGATAAAAGTGGGAAGATGAAGACGGGAAAAAACAAAAGAAGAAAAGAATTAAAAAATACGTGAACAATAAAAAAGTTGAAAAGTGAAAAATAGAAAAATGAAGAATAAGAACAAAAAGGCAATTGAAAAACTAATTAGAAATAAAAGTGAAAAAACGAATAAAAACCAGGAAATAAGAAGATGAAGAAAGAAAATAAAAAGAGAGTAGAAAGTTTGATGATAATAAAAACAAAACGGTAGAAAATGAGGGGAAAAATATGAAAGAAGTAAAAAAAACAAAGTAAAAGAAGGATAAGATAAAAATGGGGTTGGGGTTTACGATGCACGATTTATATTGATAGGCGTAAGGTTTAGTTTTTGGTGCATTTAAAAAAAAAATTGAACACTACATTACCGATTAAAAACAAAAAAACAACTAATTTGTAAAATGTGGGGTTTGTATATGCGATTTGGAGGGGGTTGTGTAATGTGGGGTTTGGGTTTAGGATGTAGAGTTGTTTAGTAGGGGTGGTGGTGTTACACTATGGAGTTTGGGTAGTAGGGTTGTTTAGGGGGTGGTGTTACACTGTGGGGTTTGGGTTTAGGGTGTAGATTGTTTAGGGGGAGTGGTGTTACACTGTGGGGTTTGGGTTTGTGGTGTAGAGTTTATATTGATGGGTGTAGGGTTTAGTTATGGGTGCATTTTAAAAAATTTGAATTATGATGAAAGAATATCATAATTAAAAACCATTAATTATAAATTCTACATTTCTAAATTACATGAAAAAAAAACTAAAACAATTAAAGCAAGTCCAGAATCGAAAGATAACAAAACCAAAAGATTTCTAAAAGATTTTGACTATATAAAGATAAAAAATATTTCATAAATTCTTGAAAATCTAAACTATCAAATGAATTAATAGGTGAAATACAAGAGGTAGATAAGAACTAATAAAACACAAGTATAAGAAAAGAAAATAGTGAAAAAGAAGATGGGATATTTGCAGAAAAAGTAGAAAATTCGAACATGAGGAAAAAAAAATCATAAAAGAAAAACAACAAAAAGAGAAATAAAATCTTGAATAATATGATATCAGAAAATACGAAGATGATAAAGATAGAAAGAGGGGGAATAAGGAAGAAGAAAAACCAAAAAAAGAATGTAAAAAAAAAAAGAATAGATAGTTGGAGAATATAAAGACACAAGAAAGATTGAAGAACAAAAATTGGAAGAAGAAGAAGAAGAAGAAGAAGAAGAAGAAGAAGAAGAAAAAGATGATGAAAACAAATATAAAATTGAAAGAAAAAGAAGAATATATGATAATTGGAGAAGAATAAGAAGAAGATGTAAACAAGAATTGTGAAATCTTTTGTATCTCTCAAAGTTAATGAAAAGATTATGTAGAAAAAATAAATAAGAGAAGACAAAAATAAAACAAATCAACATTTCAAAAATAAAAAGTAGAGGAATACAATAAAAAATTATACTACTTATATTCTTAAAAACTTTAATTAATTAATGTATTTAGAAAATATTGTACCAGCACAAGGTGCATTAAAGAATAATATATAATATTATACTATATTAAATGTAATTATATTCTTTTTTGTGCTTTCAAAATTTATAAGTTCATATCAAATTAACAAAATGTTAAGCTATTATTTTCTTGGAAAATAAACACATTACAGAAGTATGAAAAGTAATTGAAAAGAAATTGTGTAAATCTAATATTAATTGAATTTGTGAAATAACAAAATCTAGACTATCGAATAAATTGATATGTGAAATACAAAACGTAGACAAGAACGAAAAACATGAGTAAGCGAAAAGAAGATGGGAAACTTCAAGAGGAAGAAGAAAACTTGAACACAAGGAAAAATAAATCAAAGAAGAAAAAATGGAATGTGAGGAAAAAAAAAGACAAAGAAGAGATAAATAAAAACTATAATAAGATGATGTCAGAGAAGACGAAGATGATAAAGATAGAGAGAGAGGGGGAATGAGGAAGGAGAAAAATCGTAAATATAATGTAAAGAAAAATAGAAAGAAAAGAAGAATTGTGAGTTGGAGGATATGAAGACACAAGAAACGATTGAAGAACAAAAATTTGAAGATGAAGAAGAAGCAGGAAAAATGAAGATGATGACAATGAATAAATAGAAGAAGATGGGATCATTAGATAAGAATAAAACGGATAAGAAAACAACAATTACAAAAAAAAATTTTATAAATAAAATAAAAATAAAAACAAATCAAGAACTAATTTATAATATGAGGTTCATGTGCGCGGTTCAGGGGGGAGTTATAATGTGGATTTGGGTTTAGGCTGTGTAGGTTCTTTAATTAGGGGGAGGGAGGTTTATAATGTGGGGTTTGGGTTTGGGTTTAGGGTTTAGGGTTTAGGGTTTATATTGATGGGTGTAAAGTTTAGTTTCTGGTGCATTTTTAAAAATTTGAATGATTATAAAAATATATCAAAATTAAAAATCACTGATTATAAATTTATATCTACCATTCTAAAAGACACCCACAAATAGAAAAAAAAAACTAAAACAGTTAAAGCAAATCCATAATCAAAAGATAACAATACAAATTAAATAGATTTTTAAAAGATCTCTACTATATAAAGATAAAAACAATTTCACGAATCATTGAAAACTAAACTATCGAATGAATTGATAAGTGAAATATAAGATGTAGATAAGAAGGAATAAAAATACGAGTAGAATAAAAGAAGACAGTGAATAAGAAGTAGAGAAACTTCGAGAAGAAGAAGACAACTCAAAGAGAAAAAAGAAAACAAATGAGAAAAAAATAAAATGTGAAGAAGAAGAAGAAGAAGACAAATGAGAGATAAATAAAAATTAGAATAAGATGATGTCAAAGAAGACGAAGATGATAAAGATAGAGAAAAGAGGGAATGAGGAAGAAGATAATCCGGAAAAAGAATGTATAGAAAAGTAGAAAGAAAAAGAATAAGAGTAAGTTGGAGAATATGAAGACACAAGAAAAGATTGAAGAACCAAAATTGGAAAAGGAGAAGCAAAAAATGACAACGAATAAAAAAAAGAAGAAAAAAAAAGATGGGATCACTGAAAAAGAATAAGAGGGAGAAGAAAACAACCATTACAAAATTTAACTAATTTTGTTGTGCTTTCATAATTTATAAGTTCATATCAAATTAATAAAATGTTCTATTACTTCCTTGGAAAATAAACACATTACAAAAATACAATTTTTTTTTTTAAATGCGTTTTATTATATTAATTGAAAATATTGGAGTTCTGAAACATCTCTTGCCCGCGCATGCGCTGGCCAACCACCTTGTTTTAGTAAAACATCTTGTAGAAACACGAATATTACGCATTGTAGAATACTTGTTTTTGGTAGAACATTAATTATGCGGGTGGTAGAATGAACTATAACATGTAGGACAAAAAAATTACGAAAGTTAGATAGCAATGTTTATCATAGAACATGAAATCGAGTAACAGAAGATAGTATATTCTGTAGAATATATTTGGAGCAAATTCTACCAAACGGTAGAGCGTATAGTATTTGGTAGATATCGAAGTCTAAATCTGGAAGAGGTATGAAGAAGTTATAGACATCATATTCTACGGCCGTTAGACGTACATATATCTAGTAGAAAACGTATTCTACTTTGAGATTATAGATTGGTAGAACCAAACTTTAAATAATTTTCTAAACATCAAAAACAATTTTAAAACTGTTCAAATATACACAGTCTTAATATCATTTTTAGCAATTTTAGAAATTTTATTCACTTCAAAAATATCTAGTATGAGGTTTTAATTACAATGAAGGGCAATGTTGGCAAAAAATGACCAAAGTCGGAAAAAAAAGAGTAAAGGGAGAAGATGAGCTTTTTTTTTCTGAGTACTTTGCCAATTCTCTATTATAGGATTTACATACAATACCTTGGGTATCTTCCCATAAACAACATATATAATATATGGAACAATTATTATAAAATATTTTAAAAATCGAAAGCGGATATAAATATTTCGAAATTAATTATATATTTTTTCAATATATAAGTTTTGTTAACATATTCATTTTTATATAGATATATAACTAGTTGATCTTTTTCAATTTCTTTCCACTTAAAAACATAGAACTCCCCCAGACTTAACTTGCACCGTCCCGGTGAAAGAAAATGACATTAAGGGTGAGAGGTAATATTCAAAGTAAAAGAAAATAAAAGGAAATTCATGAAAATGAGATATGGATAGAAAATGGAGATTTGTAAGTGTCCATTGCACTAAGTACCACTTGAGATGACTATGTGTGGCGGTGAGAAGAACTATCTTCCTCTTCTATGGGGTCATCGCCTTCTGAACCAAGCTCTGGGTCTAGGGAGAACTCACCAAGGTCAGGCTCATATGGCTCTCTAGCAGTGAGAGAAGGGCGAAAGAGTCTCTCCGGTGAAATGTGGCGGACGACACGAACTAAGCGTGAGATTGAGAACAAGATTTTTAGTAGATTCAAACCCTCAAATCCCTGCTCATGTCATTGCAGTATAGTTAAGGTATCAATCCAAATCTCGGAGAAGATTGGGTTTTAAAGAAGTGCAAGAAAGCTTCAAGACAAGAACAAAGATTTGGTTTTTATGAAATCCGAACGTTAAACAGTAAAATACAAACTTAGAACAGTAAATTAACGGTCCAAATCCGAATTCAAAGGCAAAGGTTTCGACTTTGAGCTAAAAGACTTGAAATTTATAAAAGGAAATGAAGAAAGGCGATGGCTTTAGGTGATTTCGGATGGAAATCGAGTTAAAGGAAGAGACTTAAAGACTTAGAAGATAAAACCGAGTTTCTAGGCTAAGGAAAACGAAAGCAAGGACTCATCACTATCGTGAATGAGCTCAAATGCAAGGTCCAAACTCAAGAGCTGACTATCGTCAGTGAGCTTGTACTCAAGCAAGCTTTAAACGCAGATCCCAACACCAAAGAACCCTCTAAACAAACCGCTGTCGCGGGCTAGAGAAGTAGATCCCTTATCTTAGATTTTCTAGCTCTCAAACACACTTTTGTTGTGTTGAGAGCTTGAGATCCGATCCAGAATGATCAGAACTGGCATGGCATTAAGGATACTAAGACAGGAGAAACTCTAAAGGTCCCAGCTTTAAGCTCAGACTCTCCCTCTAAGCTCTCGGAACCGAATCACCTAAAACGATCTAATGACTACTCACTCATCCTGTTTGACAAACCGATTTCCATAAAGGAAAGGTTGTTAAACAAGAAAGTGAGATACAATGAACAAACGAGTAAGCAAGTACATGATTTAAATTAAAGGAAAAAGATCAAAGCTTACAAAGTCTAAGATCTCGAACTAGAGTATATCTTGGTGGCAAAATGAAAGACAAATTACAAGAGATGCCTAAAGTCTTTGGACTTTTTAGTTTATATAGTGGAGACTCTAAAACCCTTCTTCTTTCCTTCCCCAAGATTTAAGCTCCAAAACGCCGCGTTTCACTTAGGCATGGTCAACTCTCTTCTTGGTCAAGGGAAGCTTGTAAGGCGACAAACGGGTTTTCGATCCTGGTTCACATCCTGATTGCTCTTGGTCTTGACGTTGATGTACTTGCATTTTACATAGTTTTAGCACATCTTTTATGCATCTTTTGCATAGTTTTAGCTTTCATTTGCATCATATCTTGTTCCTTTTCTCTTCTTATGCATTCATGTTAGTTTTAGGTTGCATTTGCATACATATGCATGTTTGGTCCTTTGAAATAGGTCTTTTGGAGCATTCTGGAGCATATGGGACACAAGGAGCATGGAGGGACTTGGCACATGGAAGCAGCTCAACTGGATACGCAAAGGAAGAAGGGAGAAGCCATCTTGAAGACCAGCTCGACCGTCCACTCGACCAACCGGTCGAGTTCCTCAACTCGACCGGCCAAGCTTCAACTCGATCGAGCTGGGGAGTCAAAGTCAAACCCGAAAAATGTTGCTTCCCCCTTGACTTCCCTTTGACCCTAAACCTAATCCTCTTTGTATTTAAAGGCTCTAGCCACGAAAAAACCACCAAGCTTTAGATTACTTTTGTTTTAGCTTTCTTTTAATTTATTGTACTTTTACTTTTTAGAGATCTAATCCTATCTTTGTGTTCTTGAAGCTCTTGCTTCTTGAATCTTAGATCCTGGATAATCTCTCTTGTATTTGCACTTGCTTATTTCAATAAAAGTTGTTTAATTTCATCTCCTCTTTCTTATGATGTCTCTTTTATTGCATTTGCTTGTGTTTACATTCATGTGTAGTGAGTAGTTACCCATTGGGGTTTGAGATGGGATAGATTAGAGGTTTCATATGCTTAATCCTTCTAGCTTATGGTCTTAATCTAGATTCTCTCTCTTTTGGATAGATCTTAAGGCTACATGACCACTACCCCTGGCTTGTAAGTCCTTAGGCGACTCCCCACACGAAAGTGATGGCATTCGCTGGAAAAGATCCACTAAGAGCTCCAATATCTCTTGCTCTAGACAATAGAGGTCTAAGGGGTTGGATGGATTAGTTTGGGCAATGATCCTATAGCCTCCAAGGTTTGATTCTCACTGGCTAACCCCCTGTTTCTGAGATCATTCCTTGGTTGATAGCCTCCACCTTGGGAAAGGGTTGGCTAGGCATTGAGAAGCCCAATATCAAGAGAAGCCTTGATACAAGGAGTTTTAAGAGCTAGATTGATTAAGTGTAGATTCCTTTGATTGCAAAACCCTGTCTTGAACCCTAATTCTCTCTTTATCTTGTTAAAGTCGTCACCTTTAGCTTTGTTTGTCTCAACTCGTCCCTAAACTCGATCGAGCTGGTACTTTGCTCTGACTCGACTCGAGCTCTTGGTCGAGCTGACACTTCACTGCTTTGTTTACTTTTATTGCACTGCTTTTCATTATTTTTAGGTTGTTAGTGTTACTTCAAATCTATAACTGCTTGCTTGACTTTCAGGTTGTTTCATATTCTCAAAGAGTGACAAGTTTCCCATTTTGGATTGATAACCTCTTATACTTCAATGACTATGATGGTTAAGAGGAATTGATTGATTGTGATTGCACCATACCATATCATCTTTATTCACCCCTGTTTGCATTCCACCTCATTTCATATCACATCCCATAAAATCCTATCCTATCATCAGACGTCTCCGACACTCCTACTTCCCAAATGACTCCAAAGCTCCATTAAGTACCTGATTCAGACTCAAAATGCAATGTATATGCAATGCAAATCCTAATGAAGATGCAAGTGTATAGATAGAGATATATGGATATAAATGTATGATAATGAGACTTAGAAGGTGGAAAAATGCATGTAAAAGTATGCTAAGACATGTTAATATATGTGTATATCAACACCCCCAAACTTGAATCTTGCTTGCCCTCAAGCGAGAAGAACAAATCTGAGAGATGCTTATATGCCGAGGACTCAAAATTCAAGGATGCAATGAGAGGAAACGAAATCAATGATCGAGTTGAGAATCATAAAATGCAAGGCGAACGAACAAGCTCTACTTCCAAAATTTTAGCCACACAAATCAAAGCAACAGGAAGACACTAGACTCAGCTTACACAATGCATTCAAATAACTCTCATCCTTTAACATTCAATTATTTCAGAACCGTGAATCAACCGCTTATGCATTTCAAAATACTCGCTTGGCTCAAAGGGTGAGTTTCAAAGGACAAAGACGGTCCTACTTTCTGGTTTCAAAACCAGCACAAGGGATCTCTGATGTGGAGTCAGGTTTTACCAAACTCCTAGACCTCTGCAAGTGCACAGATCGCGGAAGTATGGGTATCGAACACAAGGACTGGCTATTGAGTACACTTTGAAACTATGGATTTTGGATCAAGCTAAAACAAAAGTATGATTGAGGTTGTAATGGTGAACCGAACTAGCAAGTATAACGAGGTTGTAAACAATAAAGGAAAAGCGCTAGGTCATAGGGGCTATCGCAGAGAAGCAAGCAATGATCAATGAAACAATGATAGATTAATTGATTAGGGATATTGGGATATTAAGAACCATCTAGAACACAGATCACGAATATAAAACCATTCCACTTTCGAGGCTCCGGCTCCTTTGTTAATCTACCTAGTCGCTAAACTTTTGGTATGTCCCTAGGTGATTAAATCAAGCTTTAGAATGAATAGGTTCTGATACAGTTCACTAGATATAGTAGATCAACTTTCGCAGTCTAAGAAACCTAGCTTGTCAAAGAATATGTCCGGCGAATGATACAGCACTGTCGAGGCTCAAATCAACCTAAGATCGGATTACTAGATGCGCGGTAAAGCAATCAGCATTAGTTAAGTGCACAAGACGAGACAAAGACTCTAATATAATCCCTAGCTAATCATTGAAATCAAAGATCATGCAAGCAACTCATTGAATAGTAACCCTAGCAACCTAACTAGTGGATTACTCAGACATGATCAAAGCAAACACACATAGAGATGAAGAAAACATGATTGCAATAAAACTTAGAGTAGGAAATCGAAATACAAGGGCGGCTCTCTTTTCACAAGAGGCTAAAAAGCTATATATATAGTGCTAGGTCTTTTAGAGGCGGCTTAGGGTTAAGCCGGGCTTGAAAATATGAAATGGGCTTCAAAACGGGCTTCGGGTCGATCGGCCGGACAGTCGGGTTGTGGCCGAGTCGGAACGGTCGTGGCCGGATGATCACGGTCGGCCGGCGTGGTCGAGCGGATGAGATTTGGCCGATGATTTCTCGGCCGGACGGGGACGTTCTTTCCCGGCTCGGACGGATGCATCGGCCGTGGTACGCGAGGGTTGCGCGGCCGCGAGGCTTGTTTCCCGGCTCGCGCGGCTGGTCGTGCGCGGCATGGCGTGACGGTGTGGCTTGGCCGACCGCGGGACAATGTTTCCCGGGTCGTGATGCGTGATCGGCCGAGCGGTTTTGGACTTTGGCCGAGACTTCAGTCGGACGGACAGTTTTGGCCGAGCGCGGAACATGCGTTCCTCGGCCAGCCGGACTGCGCGGTTTGGGCCGTCTGGAGCAGTCCTTCACTCTTTTGGTATAACTCCTTTTCTACTCATCCAAATGAGGCCATTCCAGTTGCGTTGGAAAGTTAACTCAATCAGAGCACGCAGGGAACTGGTCTTGATGAAATCCATTGAGTAGATCTTTTTCTGGGCCCTCTTAAAGTTGGTGCTTGTGCATGGAGCGGCTTGAAGTGCAAATCCTATGGTTTTGCTCCAAAATGCATCATTTCACCTGTTTAGACTCTAGACACTATAAACACAGTAAAACTACCTTTTTAGATAGAAAACCTGCCAAAAACCATTAGAAAACAATGCTAAAACAGTATAAAAAGTGGTAAATTAGAGGTATATCAACTCCCCCAGACTTAGATCTTTGCTTGTCCTCAAGCAAAAGAATCTAAATCCGTGAAAGAGGTTTGAAAACGTGGAACTCCCTTGCTCTTTTGAATATCCTGTGAAAGGTTCCTTTCCTGTATTCCACTATGAACATAGACAACATAAGGTTAGCTTCACATACACCCTGCAAGTTTAGCGAACAATACCAACCCAACTAGTCTCATCCAGCAATCCAAACTCTCTATTGCTAACCTCTTGCATAAATTTAAAGCGTGAATTCTTTATCAAGGGACATCGATCAATTGAACTTGTTCTTACCCACTTGATCCTCTCCAAGATTGTCTTTGAAGTGCAATGAGTTCTTTTCCTCTCTCTTTCTCACATCAGAACTTTGAAAGGTCAATTTCTCCCTACTTTTCTAGGGTATCATTTTATTTTTTCTATTGACCCTTCTTTCAACCACAGGATAAGTCTTTAGCTTGTTCCTTGTTTGACTAAGGTATTCCATAAGACATGAAGGTACAGACATATGCATTCCTCATGCTTACTTGTTTTCCTTGTGCTCTTTGAGCTTTTTCTCATAACATTACTTACCATTTGGGATGGGAGAGAGAGGAGAACTCTTTAAAGATTAGACAAATCTTATTGAAAATCAAGCAAGGAACTGTCGACATGTATGCCAACCCCCTTGACAAGAGTATTAAGATTGATTAAGGTGAGGTTAACTCTAGATTGCTTGGTTACCTTAGAAATTTTGCTGAGCTAGCATGTCGATCCACTGTAAGAGCTTCTGTTAGGCTTGTGCCTTTAGCTGGTTTCTGCTCTAGGGTCATGGATTGTTAGCACAACACTCTCAATTCTCAAAGCAAGTTCATAACTTCCGGACTGGTTTTTGACTCAATAAAACTTTTTGAAAAACATGAAACAAAGTGAATAAAACATAAGAAAAGAAAGAAAAATGCATTAGTAACTGATGTACTTGCATTTTACATAGTTTTAGCACATCTTTTATGCATCTTTTGCATAGTTTTAGCTTCCATTTGCATCATATCTTGTTCCTTTTCTCTTCTTATGCATTCATGTTAGTTTTAGGTTGCATTTGCATACATATGCATGTTTGGTCCTTTGAAATAGGTCTTTTGGAGCATTCTGGAGCATATGGGACATGAGGAGCATGGAGGGACTTGGCGCATGGAAGCAGCTCAACTGGACACGCAAAGGAAGAAGGGAGAAGCCATCTTGAAGACCAGCTCGACCGTCCACTCGACCAACCGGTCGAGTTCCTCAACTCGACCGGCCAAGCTTCAACTCGATCGAGCTGGAAGTCAAAGTCAAACCCGAAAAATGTTGCTTCCCCCTTGACTTTCCTTTGACCCTAAACCTAATCCTCTTGTATTTAAAGGCTCTAAGCCACGAAAAAACCACCAAGCTTTAGATTACTTTTTTTAGCTTTTTTAATTTTATTGTCTTTACTTTTTAGCAACCCTAATCCCATCTTTGTGTTCTTGAAGCTCTTGCTTCTTGAATCTTAGATCCTGGATATTCTTTGTATTTGCACTTGCTTATTTCAATAAAAGTTGTTTAATTTCATCTCCTCTTTCTTATGATGTCTCTTTCATTGCATTTGCTTGTGTTTACATTCATGTGTAGTGAGTAGTTACCCATTAGGGTTTGAGATGGGATAGATTAGAGGTTTCATATGCTTAATCCTTCTAGCTTATGGTCTTAATCTAGATTCTCTCTCTTTTGGATAGATCTTAAGGCTACATGACCACTACCCCTGGCTTGTAAGTCCTTAGGCGATTCCCCACACGGAAGTGATGGCATTCGCTGGAAAAGATCCACTAAGAGCTCCAATATCTCTTGCTCTAGACAATAGAGGTCTAAGGGGTTGGATGGATTAGTTTGGGCAATGATCCTATGGCCTCCAAGGTTTGATTCTCACTGGCTAACCCCCTGTTTCTGAGATCATTCCTTGGTTGATAGCCTCCACCTTGGGAAAGGGTTGGCTAGGCATTGAGAAGCCCAATATCAAGAGAAGCCTTGATACAAGGAGTTTTAAGAGCTAGATTGATTAAGTGTAGATTCCTTTGATTGCAAAACCCTGTCTTGAACCCTAATTCTCTCTTTATCTTGTTAAAGTCGTCACCTTTATGCTTTTTGCTCAACTCGACCCTAAACTCGATCGAGCTGGTGCTCTGTTCCAACTCGACTCGAGTCCTTGGTCGAGCTGACTTGTTTACTGCTTTGTTTACTTTTATTGCACTGCATTTCATTTCTTAGGTTGTTAGTGTTACTTAAATCTATAACTGCTTGCTTGACTTCCTGGTTGTTTCATATTCTCATAGAGTGACAAGTTTCCCATTTTGGATTGATAACCTCTTATACTTCAATGACTATGATGGTTAAGAGGAATTGTTGACTGTGTGTTTTGCATCTTACCATCATCATTATTACCCTGTTGCATTCCACCTCATCTTATCATCTTCATCATTTCACATACACACAAATCCTATCATCAATTTGGCGCCGTTGCCGATTTGGGATATTTTTGTTGCATTTGAGTTTCAAACATACTTGGACGATCAAGCTATACCACCCCTGTTCTATTGTACTGCTGGGTTTTTGTCTCTTTTTGCAGGTGTATGCGAACTCGATCGAGTCGGTCAACTGAAGACTTGGTCGAGCTAGACTTACAACGGGTAGAAAGAGGGTTCAGAGGTCACAGAGGGTACAAGAGGAACCTGAGGTGCTTGTTGCTGATACAATGGATGTACCAGAGGGGAATGGAAACCCTTTGGGCAATGGACTCGGTCGAGCTAGGCAAACTCGACCGATTGGTCAAGGAGATGCTCCAAACCGCCACCAACAGAGACAAGGGATTGTTCCACCACCAGTGCAGAACCACAACTTTGAGATCAAGCTGGGAATGATCAACCTTGTCCAGAACAAGATGTTCCATGGATTGCCAAGTGAAGACCCCATTGACCACCTTGATGAGTTTGATAGGCTTTGTGATTTGACAAAGATCAATGGTGTCTCTGAAGATGCCATCAAGCTGAGACTCTTTCCTATGTCTCTAGCTGACAAAGCTCACCAATGGGAGAAGAGCTTGCCCCATGGCACAATCACCACTTGGGATGAATGCAAGAAGGCCTTTCTTGCTAAGTTTTTCTCCACCGGTCGCACAGCCAAGCTTAGAGGAGAGATATCCAGCTTCATCCAGCGAAACAATGAGACATTCGCAGAGGCTTGGGAGAGGTTCAAAGGCTACACAAGTCAGTGCCCACACCATGGATTCAACAATGAATCACTACTCTCCACTCTTTATAGAGGATGCTTGCCTAGGTATAGGGAGATGCTAGACACAGCTAGCAATGGGAACTTCCTCAACCAGGATGTAGATGATGGCTGGCAACTTGTGGAGAACATAGCTAACTCAAATGGAAGCTATGGAGAAGAGTATGATCGCACCAACCGGAGCTCGACCCACCACTCGATCGAGTCAGACGAAAAGTTGAGAAAAGATGTTAAGGCATTGAATGAGAAGTTGGATAAGCTGATCCTAGCTCAGTCCACAATGAAGAAAGTCAACTTTGTGTCTGCTGAGGAGATGGAACCAGTCCAAGAAGGGGAGGATACACAATTTGCTGAGGTGTGCTACATGAGCAATGGGCAAGGAGGTTACAACAAAGGATACTATAATTACAAGTCCAACCCTGCCATGTCATACCGCAACACTGATGTTGCTAACCCTCAGGACCAAGTCTATCCTCAACAACAAGCAGCTCGATCGAGTCAAGGTGCCACAACATGGGTATGGTCAAAAGAACAATTACCAAGGACCACAAGGCACTTTCCCTGGACAACAAATGAATATCCCACCAGGCTTCCCCACCAACCGCCCCAGCCTGCACCTTCACAAGAGAATGAGCTCAAGGCAATGCTAAAGCAACTACTTCAAGGGCAAGCTGATGGGGTAGTGGACACAAGCAAGAAGCTAGCTGAAATAAACTCTAAGATCGAGAACCTCAACACAAGGGTTTACTCTCTGGAGAATCATGCTTCTTCTGTTGCTGCTGCTACAAAGCAAGGACAACTACCTGGTAAAGCTATTCAGAACCCCAAGGAACAGTGCAAGGTCATCTTCACTCAAGAAGGACTTGTTGAAGAAGAGGATCAAGAAAGGGTCATTGAAGATTTTTGTTTACTGCTGAATGATGAAGAGATTGTTGCTGCTGAGGCTCCTGGAGTCCAGATTGATCAACCAGAAGTGCATGCACCTACTGTGGCCATTCACACTTCACCAGTTGAGCTCGCACGACAAGCTCGATCGGCAGCTCGATCGAGTCCAACTCTAGCTCGATCGAGTCCGACCTCTTCTGTCCGACAGCCTGTTTTGCTTGATCCTTACCAACCGGTTGCCGCTTCCTCGTCTCGCCTACTTAGTCAAGGTCACAAGGAAGTGATTCACAAGTTCAGAAGAGATCTCAGTGGGATTGGAATTGAGTTGCCTCTATGGATAGCATGAGTGAGGCATTTGATCAAATGCAAATGGTCAAGGATGTTCTAGCCAACAGTGATAAAGTTTCAGAGGTCCTACAAGAGTCTACTCATCAGTTCAACCTGCTTACTTCACCCACCTTCCTACCAAAGGTCAAGGATCAAGGGAAATTCACTCTCCCTTGCACACTTGGGCATCTTGAGATTGACAATGCCTTAGTGGATTCTGGAGCAAGCATCAATCTGATCTCTCTCTCCATGGCAGAGAAGCTAGGCATAGCTGGAGCCTTGCAGCGCCCTACTACTTCAATCATGTTTGGAGATGCAACTTCTAAGTCTCCTCTTGGAGTGTTCAAGAACTATCACTTGAAAATTGGAGAATGCATCATCCAAACTGATCTCACTGTGATGGAAATGGAAGAAGAGAAGGATTTGCCTTGTTATTGGGAACCCCTTTCCTTAGTACAGTTGGCGCTTCAATAGACTTTCACAAGCAAGAAGTGATCCTTCACAAGGTGAATAGTTTGGTGTCATATCGCTTGCAGCCTAGAGGTTCAGACTTTTGTGCCACAATTGACAGTACCAATCTCAGTTCTAAGAGTCATGGAGCTACAAAGGTTGTGAAGGAAAGGGTTGACAAGGAACCAAGAGTTGGGAAGGATAAGGATGAGAGAGGACCAAGGATTGAGAAGCCACGTCTTGAGAGGGCTAGAGTTGAGAAACCACGATCTGATAGGCCAAGAGCTGAGCGACTTGTTCAAGCCCCTTGTGTGCTTGATGAAGAGAGCCTTCAAGCTTTGTTTGATGAGCCACTAGGAAGGGCTCTAAAAGAAGGGGAGGATGCAGCCTCTAAGGCAAGACCAGGAGATAAAAGAAAGGATCCACCAGCTCAGGCCCCTTCAGTCAAGCCATCTCAGCTCACAATGACTTTGTTCCCCACCAAGTTTGAAAATGGGAAGATTGAGTACAAGATAAGGTACAAGGGGAGATCAAGGCCATTCTCTAGAGCCAAGGCCTTGGTGACTTCAGAACAGTCCAGGGACCCAACCAAGCTAAAGGAGCTTCTGTCTCAAGTCCTCACTATCACCCTTGATGGTGGGACTAGCTCAACCAATGCCTAAGAAGGTAAAGGTCAAGCTATGGGACCTTAAACAAGCTCACTTGGGAGGAAGTCCCATGTTTATCCTTGTACATATTCTATTTATGCAATTTCTATCTATCTTTATGTTTTTAACCTTTCAATAAGTTAAGTTTAGGTGTCAAAGGAGCCAGCTCGACCGACAGCTCGATCGAGCTAGAAACCAGGGCAACTCGATCGAGTTCAACTCGACCAGGTAAGTTTTTGAATTTCAAATTCTAACCGTTTTCTTGGTCAAGGGAGTGGGTCCCACAAGTTAATTTTGGTCCCCCACTACCCTAATTGATCAGAAAAACCCTAGCTTTTTGTTCCCCTTTATTTCATCTTTTAATCTCAACCACACATCTCAAACACTCCCTCTTCCCCATAACTCGATCGAATCCACCTTCTCTCTCTCCCACAATCTTAAAATTTCTGAAACTCATCCATCTCTCTCTCACCACAAGAAAAATCGATTTCAATCCCTTTCTCTTAAGTTTTTGCGATTTCTTTGTTCTTCATCTTGTTTTTCTTGTTCTTGTTTACTGCTCTTCAATTCCATCATTCAAGCAAGGTATGAACCCTAAAACCCTTGATTCTTCATCTCGATTCCTATTGCTTGTTTCCTCTTTGATTTTTGATTGCATGTGTCCCTTGTGGACTTGTTATTGAGTAATTGCTTTCATATTTCGCCTCTGCATGTATACTTGTTAATTTGCTTCACCTCACCTCTGTTTTGCCATTAGAACTTGTTGCATGTGCTTGAAAATTGAATTTGAGTTTGGTATTGGTTAAGATGCTTAGTTTCACTAGAATTGCTATTGTTCCATTACTAGTTGTTCTTGGTTCAATTTGATTGATTAGCATCCTTTCCAGCTCTTAATACTTGAATTAGGTTCGGTTATACTCTGTTTTCACCTAGCTCGATCGAGTTTGTCACTCGAGTTTTTTGACTCGATCGAGCTGAGTGTCGAGTTGACCAAACCGATCATTGCAACTCTAATTCTTTGTAATTTTGATGCATTTCAGGACAATTAAGATGTTGAGAGGTGAAGGAAGCAAGCAGCGTTCACAAAGGAGAGGGAGAATGAATAAGAGGATGCAAGGAGGATATCAAAAGAGAAACCAAGGAGGAATAGAAGATGTCTGAGAGAGTGAGGGAGGAAAGGAGAACCAAAAGAAGGAATGATCCTTAGTAGTGAGAGCGAAGCAAGGAGAGTTTGAGATTGGAGTGAACATCCCACATGAGGAGAATGATGACTCCCAAGTGAAGAAGAGGGTGAAGAGTCAATCAAGAGATTGAGGAGAGTGAGCATGAGGAGCAATGAGAATGTGCCCATGGAAGAGGAGGAGTCAGAGGAAGAGAGGATGAGCTCCCATGTACCAAGAGCACTATGATGCTCTCTTCTCCATGGACTTCATGGACACCAAGTACCCACATGTTGACACAATGAAGGCCCTTGGAATCTTTGAAGATGTGGAGTTTCTCAAGAACATGCACTTGGCCAAGCTCTTCTCTTATCACATGGAATCCTACAAGGAGCTCACTTGCGAGTTCTTAGCTTCAATGAGGTACCACATGTATGAAGAGGAAGATAGAGCTGATTTGGACCAAGGATTGGGATGGATCACGTTCTTGGCTAAGGGAGAGAAGAGAATGGTGACCTTTAGGCAGCTGGAAATCTTGTTTGGGTTCAACTATGGAGAGGGACCAAGTGGAACTTCAAGGAAAAGGAACTCCAAAG